CAGGGAGCGCAGGATGGGATCACCTCCTCCCTGGCTTGTTGCATCGCAGCCCTGCGGGTGCATTGACCTTTGTCTGTGCAGCCGGCGCAGCCTCGCGGGAGCAGGGGTTTTGCCTTGGGAACATCAGAAGCCATTAATCTGGTACCCTAGTGATGAATGAAGGCTGCCTTTAATACTGCTTTTAACTCGGGCTGACTGTAAATAGCGCAGTGGCTGCGACAGGAGAGCAAAGGCACAAATCAGCTTTGAAAACAGTCCTTGCGTTTAGTTTCGGATCTTTCAGTTCACAAGGTTTCCCCTCGGAGCCCGGGGCTGGGTCCCCTTCCTCCAGGCTGGGGGCTCCGTGCTGAGGATGAGATGCCAGAGCTCAGCATGTGGTGCAGTGAGACCAGAGCTCGTCACGGGCTCTGGTCCTGCCTGTGTTCGCTGTGTCCATCCCCTGGGCCTCCAGCTCGGGGTGAGGGGGGGACTCTGGATGTGACCCCATGGGGATGTGCAGGATGGAGCCTGGCTCGATGGGGGAGCAGCACCCAGGGCCCAGCGGGCACTGGTGGCTGCACCATTAGCTTGGGTAGGGTCCTGGCACTGCTCTGAGCTGGGAGGAAGGACGTGGTTCACCTCTGTGCCGGGCAGTGCATCCCTGCTCATGGGGTTTCTCTTTGGAGGTGCTGCTGCCCATGTCCTGTGCCTCAGTTTCCCTTGGTGGGCTGCAGGGTCTGGCCAATGGTGCCTGCTCCTACTGGGGTGAGGGCACAGGGGAACATGTCCCTTTGTGGGTGATATCTCGGTAGCCACTTGCTGTCACTGGAGCATCCTCGCTCCATCACCCGCCTCGTCTGTGCTGCCTCCAGCTCCCGTTACTCAGCCTGGTATAAACACCCATCCCTGAAGAGGATGGGGCAGGATGAGCAGACTCCCCTTGCCCTTGGCAGGGAGGTGTGGGCAGCGCTGGGTGCTGCTGCCCCCGGTCTGATCTGGCACCACTAATGCAGGAGAGGGAACGGGGCTGGGGTTTGCTGGCCTGGGCTGTTGCAGAGCAGTGTCCCTTCCCCATCTCCCCCTGCTCTCCCTCCTCCCTGATCCCTCGCTCTCCCTGTGCCTCTGCACTTCCCTTGCCAGTTCTCTGCTAATTAAATGACCATTAGAAGCCAAGTCATGTTTTTGCCTTAATTAGACTCTCCTATCTCTGCTGTGAGCTCAAACCCCAGCCTGGCACATCCCCTCCGTGTCTGAAGCTGGACACGCTGGTCCCAACACGATGGGAGTGTTGGGGTGCACAGGCATCAGGGTCTGGCAGAGATGGGGTCTCCTCCACAAGCCCTTGTGCTGCTACGCCAGGACAAAACAGCCGCTGGCATCAAGACCTTGCTGGGGCGCTGCCGAATAGCCCAGCTCTACCCCAAAATGCTTGCTTGTCCCTGGGATGCATCACAGGAACGTGTCCAGGTTTCCTGCCCCCATTGAGGCAGGAGGGGGCTCTCCCTGGGGCTCCCCTTTGGGACCAGTTTGAGATTTCCACCCAAGCTGAGCAGGTTTTGGGGTCAGCTCCCAAAGCTGAGGGGTCCCCGTGTCTCCATCCCAGTGGGATGATTTAGAGCCCGTTGGCTTGATGGACATCACAGCCCTGGTTTTGCCATCCCATAAAGGAGCAATGACCCATTGCTGCAGGCCCAGGATGGGAGCAGCTCATTAGCTAACGAGCTTCACC